CCCCCAACGTCCCCCCTGACGGACTCCTGATCCCTGCTGCTGCAGCAGCAGCAGCAGCAGCAGCAGCAGCAGCAGCATTAGCGGAATGTTTATGTTTACTATGTCTAGCATCATGTAACTGTACAGAACTCGCCATCCCTCCTCCCCCTCCCGCTCCTCCTCCCCCTACCGCCGCAGCTGCTGCTGGGGGTGCTGGTGGTGGGGGGGGTGGTGGGGGTGGTGCGGGTGAGGGGGGGCGGCCGGGGATGGGGGGTGCAGAGAGGGAGAGGGAGAGGGGGGAGGGGGAGGGGGAGAGGGAAAGGGAGAGGTTGCTGCACAAGGAGATAACGGAGATAGTATGTTTCCTCCTATGTTGCTGCTGCTGCTGCTGCTGCTGCTGCTGTTGTTGCTGCTGTTGCTGCTGTTGGTGGTGGTGGTGGTTGTGGTCGTCGTGGTGCTGCTGCTGTTGGTTGTGCTGCTGCTGCTGCTGCTGCTGCTGCTGATGGTAGCAGAACACTTGCCACCCAAACGCCTCAACTCCTCCCCTGTTGCTCCTGCTGCTGCTGCTGCTGCACCTGCTGCTGCTGCTGCTGCTGCTGCTGCTGTCATCCTGCGGTTATCCCCAGGTGTACCTGGGGCCCCCTTCGCCTTCGTACCCCCGTTACGGCCTCTCCCTGTGGGGCCCCGGGGGCCCCCGGGGGCCCCCCCAGACAAGCTCCACTCTGCTGCTGCTGCTGCTGCTGCTGCATTTCTTTTTGTTTTAATCTTGCGTGGCAGACCTGGATGAGCAGCTGCAATACCACCACCACCGCCGCTGCTGCTGCTGCTGCTGCTGCTGCTGCTGCTGCTGCTGCCCTTTACATCCTGCAGCAGCGTCAGCGCCCGCAGGGCCCCCTCTCCCCCCATGAAGCTTTGGGGGGATGGGGGGGGCTTGAGCTGCAGCGTCGAGAGCCCCAGTATATTTGTATCTACAATACCTTGTAGAGGTAGTAGCTGCTGCTGCTGCTGCTGTTGCAGGGTCTGCTTGAGGTCCTCCTGTCTTGTTCTGCATGCGCTTAGTAGAGCGAACAC